TATTATTAGATGTATCTAAATTATGTATATATTATTTTTCTGCAAAAGTGTGTGAAAAAAGGATATTTTGCATTTTTAACCTAAATTTCTATAAATCTATAATCTGAAAAATACTTGTTTTTGATATAATCGAAGGATAGACTTATCTTCACTACCAGAAGCTAATGTATTTCCATCAGGAGAGAAACAGACTGACATAACATAATGCTCATGACCATAAAATTTCATATTATGACAATAAATGAAAGTTATATTTAAGTTTGAAACTGAGCAGAATGCCTTTAAGAAGTAGAATTTACAAAGATAGAATATAAACAATAGTGAGTGACCTAACTTTAATTTTTTTAATAAATTAACTCTTTTATTTCAAAAGGGAATTTTTGAAATATGAAAAATTATGAAAAACTAGAACTCCAAATATTTAAGTTGATCACTCGCAAACTTTCCATACAATGAGTTGCTGAAAATAGAAAAAGAAAAGTGTAGCATGATAAATAAATCGCAGAGATGAATTCTGCATAAATATAGCTTAAAAGGGGATAAAAAAGACTCATGTTTATAAGTAAAAGGTTAAGATGAATCTAATCAAACGAATCTTCAATTAGATGTTAATAAAATATTATCTAGCAACAAAAATAATTAATATCAACATTTAGATGTAATGTTGATTTGTGGTGAACTAAAATCAGGAATGAGCAGAGTTACTAACAGGATAGAGGAATACTTATTGAAGCAAATAGATGGCCCTTCTTTTAATTGGATTCCTATATTTGTATAATTGCCCTCTTTTAAGGATCCAATAACAAATTTATTTAATGAAGCTTTAGAATCAGATTATTTAAATTAAAAAAATTTCAATTTGTGAATTTTACGAAAACTTTATATTTTATTATAATCCTTAGATAGAATCTTATGGAAAATATACTTAACTTTAAAAATTTAGCAATAGATTTGTGGAATTTTTCTGAATCTTTGGCTATTGATATGACTCTTCATTACTAAACTTATTTTTCTCATAAAGTTTAGGGAGTATTAAAACTGATAAATGCTCAAGAATGCATTGGAAGTCTGATTATTATTTTAATGATGAATTAGAAGAGCAATATTATAAAGAGAAAATTCAAAGCTGCATTTTGTTAAGTTGCAAAGGTAATTTTATTCTTTATTCATAAATTTATTCGATAATCATTAAACAAAAATAAATTTTAACATAAAAGTTTAGAATAATCTGTATATAATTAAGATATTTTTAATATTTCCAAAATTCATTTTTATAAAGTATCTGAATTCATAACAAATTTTTTTTAACAAATGGATAGTAATTCAAATAAAGAAAACACTTAATTTATCAAAGAAAAACTTAACTATAAAAGAGCACCATCAAATTCAGTATTTTTACTATCCTAATTTAAAGCTTCTATTATGGGAGGGTAAGATCTGAGAGATATTTCGATTTCTGATACTAAGATTAATTGTTTAAGCTTTTTTGCTAGTGATCTATAATCTAGTAAATTTTCTGGAGTCGAACTTAATGGATGCAACTTTAATCTATCAAAAATTAAAAATTCTAAATGGTCTATAATTTGTAATGAGTGAGAACTTTATTTGGACATAAAAATAAGAAAATAACATCATTGTTGATGTGCCCTGAAGGAAAAAAATTATATTCTAGTAGCGAAAATAAAAAATTTTCGTTTGGGATTATACAAAAAAGTACATAAATCAAGAAATTGCATGGCCATTCAGAAATTATTAAATATCTCTCTATATCATCAAACGGAGACTATATAGCAATCCTGTACGATTTGGGATTGTAAAAAAAACAAAAACTTGAACAAATTAAACAATCAAAGACCATCAAGGATCTGTCAATTCCTTATATATCTCATTAGATTAGGCAATTCTAGCATCGGCAAGCAGAGATAAATCAATTTCGCTGATTTCAGACTATTAGAAAAAACTAAAAAGCGTTGTCTTAAGCTCAAATAAAAGAAATGTAAGTAGTTGTTTTCCCAAAGTCTATTATGTTAGCAACAAGGTGTTCTGATTTTACTGTAATAATATGGAATATTGGAGAAAATCTTCCCAAAATAATAAGAGTGGTTCATAAACTTCCTTAACCAATTACATGTATAGCTCTTTCAAGTGATGGAACATTTTTGATGACTGGATGCAAGAGCGCCTAAAATTTATGTTTAACCTGTATTAAAGCTTGGGAGATACATCAAAAAATTAGAATGAAGCTGAAAATTTACAAATTCCAACTTTTTCTATTTGTCAAAATCGTAATATAATTGCAGTTGATAACAAGGATTAAATAATATTTTAATTTGAATAGAAAGATAAATATTAAAAGCAATAATAAAATATTGAATCTAACTTAACATAATAATACTCTAAAGCTTTGAAGGAACTTTAAGAGAATTTAAAATTGGCCTCATCAAATTGAGATATATGTAAAAACTTAATGATTATTCTAGCTTTGAGAAAACAACATATGGAGAGTAAACTAAAGGGTGAGGTTCAAAAACGGGGGGAGGGGAGTAGCACAAAATAGAAAAATTGATTTTAAATGATTTTGGTTAGGGGAAAATCATAATTGTCTGATTGGAAAAAGCATATACTATTCGATTGCATAAAGTTCAATAGTAAATTTTGAGAAATACTCAACCAAATTAAAGAATTAGGCTTAAGATATAAATGAAAAGGTAAAGCATATAGTATTTAATTAAATTAAATAAGAGCAGAAATAGTATAAGAACATTTTAAGCTATTATTTTATTCTTTTAATTTTCGTATAAATAGCGATGTTAAAATTATAGTAAAATTATAATTCTATCCGAAAATGAATGTCTAATTATTTAAAAGGATGGAAATTTATATCAAAAACTCTGAAATTTTGCAGACTTTATAATTTTTTAAATTAAATGAATAAAAATAATATGATATCAATTCTTATTGAATTTTTCTTTTTCTATTTTCTTGATCATTAAATTTAAATAATTTTTTAAAATAGGTTATCCTTTCTCATTTTTTTAAGTAAAAACCCTTTTAATTAGTTTTCTTTCTCTTTTGTTTTTTTTTGCCTATTTATTTTCTTAATTATTATTATGCTTTTGGATTTCAAATTACTTGATTTATTAGTTTTCTTCACATTCATTTATTTTTGAAGTAAACAGCTTTATTGTTAATTTGAATAACATACATCTTGATAGAATTATTGCTTTTTTTCAGCTAGCATATCCTTACCTAATTTCTCAGTCAATTCTTAATTATAGTATTTTTATTTCTGTCTAAATTTCCTTTATAATTAGCACTCCTTTATTTTCTCCTTTTAAATTCCTAAATTACACTAAAATTACTTAATCGCTTCCTCTCTTAAAGAATTGCATTAACATCCATTAAAATAAAAATTAATAAATCAATTTAAATGAATTCAATTAAAATTTATCTAACATTTATTCAAAGGCCTTCCTGAAAGAGTTTTTAAGCCACTACTAATAATTTAAACTTCCACAAAATCACCAGTGGAATATATATTTTTTTCATTCTCAAAAACAACAGTTTTATTTGTATCTGTTCTACCTCTAAGTTGATTAGGCCTATTACCCAGCTATTCAACTAAAACAATATGGTTCCTAAATTTTAATAATCAAATACTTTCCAACTTCAAGAGAATTTTTTTGATTCATAATCTTATGTTATAATTCAATCAGCCTTTCAAGACGATTTTATTTGACACTTTCAGGTACATTATCTTAAAAGTTTCGTTATGCGTGTGTTTTTTCTCTCATTGAATAAGCAAACATAAATGCCTATTTAAATTTATCTCATACATTTTCAAATTATATAAGTTCTAATAAACTTAAAGTTTATTCAAAATCTTATTCAGTCTCATCGCAAAAACCAACAATTACATCAGTTGACAAGGTTACATTTGGAATTTAATTTCTTATATCTTTGCATAAATCCTCAATCGCTCTTCTTGTATAATTTCTCCTCATTTTTTGCAAAATATCATTAGAACCTGATTGTATAGGTATGTGGATACTAAATTACATAATCTATACTTTTTGCAAATATTTGGATGTTTTGCGATTACTTCCAAAACTTTTTTTGGGAAATTCTTAGGATGAGGTGAGGTAAATCTGATTCTAGTTTTTGGAAATCTAACTGCAATTTCATTCAAGAGTTAATCAAATCTTAGACCATTTCCATATCTCAATTTATATAGCTCTGTAAAACCAGCCGAGTTTTCATGTTAGCTTTGTATTTTTTCGTCCTGAAAAAAGTAACTATTAACATTTTGTCCTAGTAGCGTAACTTCTTTTACTCCCTTTTAGGTTAATACATCTATTTCTTTTAGAATGCTTTCAGGATTTCTGCTCCTCTCTCTTCCCCTTGTGAAAGGAACAACACAAAATGAACACATATTATTGCACCCTCTCATTATCGAAACATATGTTGTGATACTATCAGTAGGATTAATTGGGAGTATATCATCGTATGTTTCTGTTTATGAGAGATTTGTGTCTATCTATTTATCTCTATTTAGTTGAAATGAGTCCAAAAGAGTTGGTAAGGATTTATAACTATCTGGGCCTACAATAATGTTTGCTCCTTAAGTAAATAATTACTCTTTAAGTCTTTCTGCCATACACCCTAATATACCTAGTACTTTATTTTAAGATTTTAATTCTGACATTCTTTGAAACACTTTTTTTTCAGCATTTGCTCTTATAGAACAAGTATTTAAAAAGATGATATCAGCTTCAGAGATGTCGTTAGTGTTAGAATAACCCTCATTTGATAAAATTGATTAAACAATTTAGGAATCATTCGTGTTCATTTAACACCCATATGTTTCTATAAAAAACTTAGGGCCTTTATTAGTGTTATTGATTATAGGGACTTACTATTTCATAAATTCAGATAAAGAGGGAATATCATTTAGGCCTCTTTTATATGAGGAAAAGTGAGGTTTTTGAAAACTTTGAATTAATTATCTCAACATATAATAATTGTATTTCAAGACATATTATTGTAATAACATAGTTATGGGATTATTTAGTCAACCATTTTTTATTTTTATTTTTTATAAATTATGTAATACACACAAACTCAGCTAGAAATCAGCTTAACAAGTTTTAAGGATATTCGAAACAATCTAAAAGATGAATTTTAAGATTACCTTCTACAAAATAGCTCAAGAGACAAGGAAGCACCTAATTACTTTGGAATTATCTTAAAGGAGTTAAAAAATAAGAATCAATAAATGCAAAAGTAAATAGCTATGTACTCCTCTCCTAATTTTTCTCAAGTTTCTACATATTCATAAAACGTAAATGATCAAAGAATTTCTTTAGTATTAGATTTCAAAATCTTCTGATGAAACCGAAAGATTAACAAAAGAGTTGGAAGTTTAGAAATCCTTAATTCAAAGTGAAGTGGAACTTAAAAAATCAATTAATTGCATTAAGAAGCAAATTTATCCTTTATAAGAATATACCAATCAATTGTCTTTATAGTAAAATTAGGCAGAAAACGAATGTAAAACAGCTGAGTCTGAATCTGTATGAATATATATTAAATTAGAAAGAATAGAATTAAAAAAACAATTTGCGAGCTCTAATCTTCAATTGCTAGATTAAAGTATTAAAGATAATAATACCGTGATTTTATCTATGAGTAGAGTTTGAAAGTAGAACAAAATCTAAAATAAGAATAATGTACTCTTGAATAATAGAATGAGACAGTTGATAATTTAGTCTAAACAATATCTAAATAAAAAACTTAAATTGAAGATTTAATTAAATAATAATATGAAAAAATGGAAAAAAGCGAATAATAAAGAATAACTATACAGAACTACTTAACACTAACAAAATTATACGAATTCTGCACCAACTAAATCGAATAATTAAATATGAATGATAACACATAAAGAATTAGCAGCGAATCTGAATCTTCAGGCAAAGATGATTTATACTCAGATTAGGAAGACTCAATAATAACAAGCAATAATTTTTTTTAGACTCAGGTTCAAACATCATCTTAGCCAAGATCAAAATAACGAATACCAACACCAAAAAAGAAAAAAAAGGAAAAAAAGAAATTAACATATCCATAATTAATGGAGAAATTTTAGCAATCAAAAGAATTACTTTCATAAATTAAAAATGATGTTGATATAAATATAATGGAATAATTTATTTTAAATTACTATTAAGAATAATCTGAAATACAAAGATAACTAACAGATCAACATTAAGTTTTGTAGGAGTAAAAAGATGAGTATTTACATGAAATTTAGATGCTAAACGATAAAGTATATATTTTATTTGTAATGATAGCTAAATTTGACAGATGATGTGAGAGAAAAATTAGTAAGATGTTAAGAACCGACATCTGAAAACTTTAATTAGAATATCTTAACTCATAAAATTGCGAATACAAGTAATGAGAATGAATTGCAAATTATAAAATAAACAGATAAATTGAATAAATTAGAAGCATTGTTCTTTACTTTGAACACAAGAGCCATGTCTTTATTGAAAAGAATATGTTCTATTTTATAAAACATATAATAAATAAGTGAAAAATTAGATAATAGAATAATTAATGTTTATTAGAATGCAGTTTTAACTGTTGGTTTAATAAGATCAAACAATGAAATAGAATTGAATCAGTTTCCAAAATTTAAGAAACTATTAAAAGGAAACAATCTTACCTTAATTTACTGTGACTAGTAAGTATTTCAAGAATTCTGTGAAAAAGTTGAAAATTTTACTGATGATGGTTTATCGACTAATTTTTAGACATTAATAGAAATTTGTATGACAAGAATAGCTGCAGAAACTTAATGCATTTATGAATAAATCTCAACTATTTGTAATTGTCTTAAAGATGAAGTAAGAAGACTATGTAATTATGGAAGTCTAAGATCTTTTCGAGACTTAACAAGCATGCCAATATCAAATTTAGCGAGTTCATATAACGCTCCAACTATGAGAAAATTAAAAGAATAATCAGAATCTAAATAATCAGAAGTTACTAGCAAGAAATCAATGGAGAGATTTGAGTAATATTTCTTAATTTATAAGGAAAAAATCATTATTGGCGGATGAATTTAAATTTGTGATTGAATAAAACGAAAAAAGTTTAAATGAAGATGATATAGATGAATTTTATTATCAAATAAAAAAAGAAATAGAAGCAAAGCCTTCAACTAAAACAACTAGAATTGAGACAGCTAATTTGACAAAAACAACGCTAGTTTACGATTAACCTTAAAAAAATAAAATGACTGAATTTTTTAGATCAAATTCTAAGGTGTCTTAATCATTAAGAAGAATTTAATCATGTAAAATTAATATTAAAGTTTAGAAGGGCAATTTATCGACACTTAATCGAAAAACTTTAAGTAGTTTTTAGAGAAAGAATAAAAGCATATTGAATTATTATAAAGAATGAATCGTACAGGTAGTACATCAGCATTTTAACCAACAACTTTAAGACCAAAATCTTAGGAAAAAACTCGTGTATTCAATCTCCTACCAAGAACAATCAGCACATCGTAATAGTAAAGATCAGGGAGAAAAAAAATCGTTGCTATATAAGTTGAAAAGGATATGAAAAGATTGAAAGATCAAATAGGTAGATTTACCAAACTACAATTGAATTGATTGGGATTGTAATTAATAATTTTATTTATGTTATAATCGAATCTAATCATTTTTTAGATGATTTCGTCCCTGACTTAACAGATTTAGCAACTGGATTAGATTTTTATGATTATGAATCTTTAGGAGCTTATTAAGATTATTATTATTATGTTTATTGTTAAAGTTCGTTCTATTTTTTTACACTTTGAACAGTAGGTAATTCTTGTTGTGCTTTAGCGTTGATTACAGACTCAGGCATTTTCCAAATGAAGATAGCTCCCTCAGCACCGACAGAAATAATGGATTTTTGATCTGGACTAATTGTAATCTAAGAAAAGTGGCAAATAGTACCCTAGTGATTGTGCCTGAATGTCCTTATCCTTTAAAATAGCAGATTCCTTCATCATAGCCCCAAAGCTTGACTTCTTTATCTTCTCCCCCAGAGACAAAATGTTCCCCTTCTTTTGTGATGGCAAGGGCATTAACTTCTCCTTCTTCTGAACCATCCAACATTCTGATTGCTTAACCATCAAAAGTTTCCCAGTAAGTAATCTAATAATTAAAAATAAAATGATTACTTTTCTATCACTTCCAGTAGTGAGTAATTGACTTTCTTCGGGATGATAAAGGACCATTTTAAATAACGTGCTTTCAAATAGACACATAACTCTAGTAAATGATTTGAGATCCCAAATTATACAAGAACCATCTGCACTTGCACTAACAGCTTATTCATTATTTCTTCTAACTTGAATAGACCATACTCTTCCTCTATGTTCTTTCATAGATGACTTCATAACTTAGGTTTGTTTGCCTATTTCCCAAACTCTAACTTCTCCTTCAGATCCTCCTGAGATAATTCTTTAGCAATCAGATGTGCATGTCAAAGATGTACATCCATGAATATGTGCATCATTTATAACATACATCAATCTACCTGATTAAGGCAAGAATGCTCTAATTTTGCCATCACTCCATCCACTCACTATACTTTTTCCATCATTCATAAATGCAACTGCCCAACATTCTAAATTAGGAACTTAGATTCTTAGCAATTCTTATCTATTTTTAGCATTCCAAACTCTAATGTCATTCAAGGAACTTGTAGCAAAGACATCTGAATAATTATGAGGAAAGGCAACATCATTAATTCTTTCATAATGACATGTGTTTCTTAACTCTGGAATTAATTTCTCAGTGTCCAACCAATAAATATTGCTCTGACTAGTTCCTGTGAAAAAATGAGTATAATCATTTGTGAATGTTATTGAGGTTACTCCTCCCAAAAGTTCACTACTTGCTACTATTTGCATTGTTTAAAATGACACTTTTGCTATCATTCCATCACCAGCACCAACAATAATATCGCCATTAGGTAATAAACCTACACAATTAACTCCTTAACTGAATAACTTCTTTACTGGAGCTAATCTTTTATAAATAGCCATATCCATTTGAATTTCAAATACATCTCCTGTTTTTGTACCGCAATAGCAATATTTGTCATTTTTATCTATTGCAACACAAGTGAATGTACGCTTTACGTTACCAAAGTTGACATCAACAGATTAGATCTTTAATATAGGGTTATACAATACCTTTTTATTTTATTTATCAATTGTTAAAATTTAAACTCCAGTATTTAAAACTGCTATCATTTTTTCATCTGATTGGTTGTAAAATTAAACTTAATTAACAGGATCTCTATTTGGAGTACCATACAAGGCTTTTCCTGCTTTAATGTCCCAAACAATCAACATATTTTTATCATCGATTCCTCCTAATGAGGCTAAGTATAATTCATTGTAGGAAAAACTGAGAGACTAAATCAAAACTTTATGTAATTTCAATCTGTGAATCATGCTTCTTTCCTTGAAATCCCAAATTATAATATCAGCTTAAAATCCCATATAAGTCCTCTATCCAGAAGCAACATAATCGCCTGAACGAGAAACTGTTATCACAGAAATCTAATTGTCATGTCCTCTAGCAAAATTCAATGTTATATTATACCTTAAAAATGTTTAAGCTCTGCTAATTATATGTCTAACAACGATTGTGGAACCCAATGGATAGATTATATGCTTTTAATGATCATTTAAACAATACCTCATTATCTGGATGCAATATCAAGCCTTAAGTAATTTTACCTGAAATAATTATATTGTCAATATACCTGTAAATCCAATAACTGCTTGTATTTCAAGTTCTGATAACATTATTTGTATTTTTATTTTTCAAATAATATACTTCAATATTTTAATTAAAAACTGTTGTATTTTACATATAAATTTATAAATCTTATGAAAATTAATTAATCAAACAGTCCAGAACTCTTCATTATCCTATTTTTCTAATCTTACTCTTATGTCTTTATTCACATTTTCAAGAACCTAATTTGCATATCAAAATTTTATTACCATTTTCCATAAATTAGAAGAGAAGTCATCTTAATAAAATGATTTCACATCACTCTTCTCCTTCTATACATTGATTTTTTTGCGCTCAAAAACAACAGTTTAAATGATAGAATTTGAAACACTGTCGGCTATCATTTTCTCTTTAGCATATTGAAGTTCTCCAGAAATTTTACTTGATTTTGATTCTGAAAATAAATTTGATTGTATTTAGTAAAGCAAAAGAGCAACAGCAATAAGACTCAAAAATACAAGTATTTTAAACAATAAAAATTTAGTTTTTTATTGATTATCGTATTTCCTCTTCAACATTTTAGATTTACGATCATCATTATTAGTTGAACTAAGTCTTGGAGTTGAATTAAATGAAGTAATACTACTTTTTGGGGTTATAATATTATTAGTAGCGGTTTTGACTTCTTAGATAGTTGATTTGGCAGTCTCAAAATTTTATGGAAATATGACTGAATTTGGAGCAAAAGATTTTGAGAAATTTTGATTTTATTTTGTTAATAAGTTAGTGGAGGTAAGTTTTCTGTTTGAAATATTTGAAAGGGGTCTTAGTATTGGGGAATTACTTCGATTCATTATGAATTCAAATTTTTAATTTATTTATTTATCGTTAATGTTAAATCTAAAAAAGAGATATTATCCATTTTCGTGGTTATTAGGAATTTTGCTAATTCTTTCGATTTTCTATCAAGAATATCAAAGTCTTTCTTACACATCATAAATGATTGTATTACTCTTAAAATCACATTATGAAGGTTTTAGATTGAATATTTTCTTTTATGCTTTAAGTTTACTATTAGATATGTGTAGATTGTAGATACTAAGTCTGGCTGCACTTATTCTATATTTTTATTTGACCCACAAGTTAAACAATTACTATCTGCCAGATGGAGGAAGTCCTGTTGGTCATTTATATTTGAAGGGAGGCATTCTTAATAACTACAAGCATATTCCAGAAATGGCAATATATTATCCTGCATCATTGGAAGATTGTAAAAAGCGTAAAAAAGGATTCAAGTGGCTAAAAGTTAAGGATTATGCAAAAAAAATGGATGATACAGCTAAAAAAGATGTACGCAGAAAAAGGAGAGTTCCCTATCTCTTTTTTAAAATTGTTGTTTCATAATTCTATAAGTTTATGATAAATGTCTATGAAAACGCATAAATTGACATAAATTTTGCAGAAACATCGACCAATTTTGCTAAATTTTCAGTCATTGTATTGAGTCATGGATTAGCTTCACATTGTGATGGATACTCTGTAGTGGCAAGATATTTGGCATAATAAGGTCATATTGTCTTTGTTCCAGAACATATAGAGAATATTCGGAATATTTACCTAACTAATGAAGAAAATAGAGAATATAGAAAATTGTAATTGTTAGATAGGTAATTAACTATATCATTCTAAAATATAGAATCAATGCTATAAAGCAAGTTTTAGATATTATATATGATGAAAAACTCTTTTCAGAACTTTTCAAGCATCCTGAAAAAAAGATATAACCAGATTTTGATTAGATTTCAATCATCGGACATTCTTTTGGTGGATCGACTGCTTATGCAATAGCTCAAACTGAAAAGAGAATTACAGGAGCATGCATTTTATATGATCCAGTATTAATTCCCTTTATAACTTAGTGTCTATATATCTTCGATTTTGAAGAAAAGATAAAACTACACATTCCATTGATGAGCATCAATGCTGATGACTTCTATAGGAGATTGTATTCATTTATGGAGAATGATTAAAGATTGGAGAAGGCATTTCAATTGATTGATGTAATAAAATGCTTTATTAAAGGGTCCTATTTCTGATCATTGCGCAAATATTTATATCAAAGATTAGCAACATGCAGATTTTTCGGATATCCCAATTATTTGGAATGGTGAAAGTGGGCTTTATAGTATATCGAAAAATGTTCATGAAGTGCATTTAAGATTTGGAATGATATTACTATTGACTAAAATATTTTTGGAAGAGTCTAAATAATATCATAAAATTAAACATAATAAACAGATTACAAATGGTAATGATGAATTAAAATCCATAATTCTAAAAGAAGTAGAAAAGAATTTTGGCAATCAGAGTTTAAAATTATTGAGATGGTAAGCAGTTCCAAATGAATGATTTATTATAATTAAAAAATTATATTATTATGAGTAATATTGATTAACTTTTGAGAAGCAGACCAAAAATTTTAAAGGGAAGCTAAAATTTGATATAGAATAAGCCTACAAATGAGTTTAGTCTTAATTTGGACAAAGCTTTATTTACGATGCAACCAGCTCCAAGATTAATAGTACCTAAAGAAGTTAATGTGAATAAGAAGAAATATGAAGGATAAATAGATTAAGTTGATATGTATTCATGATTGTTTACTAGAACTGAATAAGAATTTGAGAAACTAATTCCGAAAAAGTAAAAAGATTCTCCCATCACTAATAAGAAAATTGTTAATGATAAATAAGAAATGCCTACTTATATTCTAGAAGAAGAGAAAACAAAATAAGTAAGTAAATTGAACAATTAAGTTTGTAATGGAGGCATTGAGTGAAGAGTTGAAGAGACTAGATTCAAACACAGATAATTTATTAAGGACTTTGGATTAAGAAAAGGAGAAGATGGGTTTAATGAAATAGCAGAATGATGAAATAGAGCAATAAGTAAAACTGATGGTTTAAAATAAAAGATTAGAAAATAGAATCTCGTAATTGGAAGACTAATTGAAGTACTTGATTAAGAATAATTTAAAGTGTTCCAAAAGAAATTAAGTTAGATCTATTGAATGCAGATTGGAATGTGGCAAATGAGAAAATAGAATAGATGTTTAAAGATAATTAAGAGCTTTTCAATGAAGCAGATCAAATTGCTCATGAATTCGCTAAATAATAATTGGAATATGAAAATGATTGATATTTTGATAAATTATATTTATAAATTTAGTTAACAAACTTAACATAGAATTAAAACATGACTAAACAAATGTAATAAAGTGATGGAGATGAAATATTTATTCATCTTTAAAACAACGCAGATCAATACAATATTAAATAATCAGATAATAAAAATCAAAATGAAATTATGATCCCAGATCAAGTCATAGAGGCTAAGACAAATAATCAAAAACCAATGACATTTGACTAAATTAGATTGGTTTCATCCACTTAAGTGAGTGGTGATGGACACGCTAAATCAGTTAGAGTACAATGTCCATAATGCAAATAAAAGGTATTAAAATCAATATTCTAGGTTGATACTGTAATTATTCGTAAACCAGGAACCTAAACATATCTTGCCTCGTGCATTCTTTTGCTTTGTTCTTTTGGTTTAGTATGTATTTCTTGTTTACCTTGTATTATTGATGATTGTAAGGATGTCTTACATTCTTGTCCTTAATGCAAGACTCCATTAGGAAAGACAAAATTCAAGATTTTAGATTGATCCATATATATAGACACTTTATTACAATTAAATTACAAATTAAAAACTGTTGTTTTTCATTACATATTATTATTAAAATAAATATTTTATATGAAATAATTTCCAATATAATAAGCAAGAAATCTTGTGAATGAATTCTTTGACTTTGTTGCAAAAGCAGTAAGTCCATTTCATGTCACATCTTTATGTAAAGAGAGATTAGCAAAATCAGGATTTACAGAATTGAATGAAACAGAAAATTGGAAATTGGAAAAAGGTGGTAAATATTTCTTCACAAGAAATCTTACAACTATTGTTGCCTTCACTATTGGTTAATAGTTTGATCCAAATAATACTGGATTTAAAATCATAGGTGCTCACACAGATAGTCCATGTTTAAGATTAGCACCAGTTTCTAAATTAGATTCAAATGGATTCTTATAAACTTGTGTATCTACTTATGGTGGTGGCTTATGGCATACTTGGTTTGATAGAGAATTAACATTGGGAGGTCGAATTGTTTTTAAAAAAGATAATGTTTATTAGAGTTAATTATTCCATCATTAAAAACCATTGTTAAAGATTCCAAATTTGGCTATTCATCTAACCACTGATAGAAATAGCTTTGCTCCTAATAGTAAATATTTATATAGAAAATTAGATGAATCAAATTTAAGACCTGTGTTTGCCTAAGAAGCCTATTAGACATTGACTGGAATTGAAAAACCAAACACTGAAGGACAAACAAGTTTCGAAAATAAACACTATAAACATTTACTTAATTTGATTACAGAATAGACAGGAATCCCAACTTCTGACATTTTAGATGTTGACTTATATTTTTCAGATTGTTAACCACCTTCATATTTTGGTTTAAATCAAGAGTTCATTTCTGCTGCTAGAATTGATAACTTATTTTCAAGTTTCTTCTCACTTTTAGCCATTACAAATCCAGAAAGTATCACAGAAGACCAAACATTTATTAATATGATCTGTCTTTATGATCATGAAGAAGTGGGCTCATAAAGTGCCCAAGGAGCAGATTCTTCATTGCTATCCAATAACATGAAAAGAATTTATGATATCCTATCCAATCCTAATTAAACCTCTATTGATAGTTTTTATAAAGCAATTTAAAAGAGCTTTTTAATTTCTTCGGATATGGCTCATTCAATTCATCCAAATTATTCAGACAAACATCAACAAAATCATAGAGTAAAAATGAATGAAGGAATTGTTATCAAAGTCAATCATAATTAAAGATATGCTACAGATGGTGTTTCATCAGCAATACTTAGAGTAATCGCTTAATAAGCTAATGTCCCAATCTAAGACTTTATTGTTAGAAACGATTCTCCTTGCGGATCAACAATTGGCCCTTTATAAGGTTTCAATTCAATTTATAAATTTAGCCTCAAACACTGGTATCAAAACTATTGACATTGGAGCAGCTTAGTGGGGTATGCATTCCATTAGAGAAACTGCAGGAGTTGTCGATGGTTATTATTTGGAAAAACTATTTGTTTAATTTTTCAAACAATATGAAAAAATTGATCATACATTGCTTGGGATTTGAGTATTTTTATGATTATTGAAAAATTAAGAATAAAATATTAAATTCAAAGATAACTCAAATTATTATTCAAGATTTTCAATTTACTCTTTTGTTCGCATGCTTATAATACAGTTATTAATATTTATAATATTTTTATTTCCTTTGATCATTTGGAATAAAGTTTTTTATTTTCATAAGCACTTAATAAAGGAACCATTTCAAGTAAGCGAGCATGCTCATGTTCTTAATAGTCTAGCCTTAGAAACAGAACAATTATTCACCCAAAAAAGGAATAATTCATAAATTACCCATCTATTTGAACTGCTGTAGGTACAACTTAACCATAGATCAAAGAAGCGAAGCTTCTTTAAATTCTCTTACTCCCTCAAAGATTATGCTTAAAAGGAGCATGATAGGACTAAATCTAAAAGAATATTTAAGAAAGATTAAATTGTTTCCACTTTTTATAATATATACTTTTAATTAAGTAACATTAGAAATTATGTTAAAAATCACAATTCTGAGTAATAATTAAGTTCATATGGAGAAAAGCAGTAAGCAAATCTTAATTATCAAATACAATCCTTTAATTAAAAGATACAATTTAGTTTAACTGAGTAAGCTGAATAAGTAATTAAGCCTTTTATTCCTCTAGAACAATAAGATTGATGATGTAAAAAATAACTATTTTTTATCTTGTTGATGATGGAGTTGCAACAAGAATTTTGGGTATGTATTTTGTAAAATTACAAAAAATAAAATTTTTTTTGATTATTAAAAATATAATGTTAGGTAAATATATTAATATACTAAATATAAAAAATTAAAAAAGGTCTCATATTTGCTCATTATTAACAAGAGCTAAATTTTCATTATTAATATCCTAATTTAAGTTTTATTACTATTTTTAACTTTGCTATCCTTCTTAGTTTTTTTAATTTATTTCTTTTATTAAATAATTTACAAATTCTTTAGCTTCTCTTATTAGTTTTATTCTATCTTATTATTTAAAACTTAGTTCATATTATTGACATTATTGTTGCATTTCAGAATTATCTTCAACATTTACATTTGTTTTAGTGTAATTTTCAAATTGGGGAGTTTTCTCAAATATGATTTATAAAATTCCAGATATGACAGAAATTAGAGATAGGTATCCTAAAATTCCTAAAAATATATATCCTGAATAATTAAAATAAGACTCCACTGCTATAAAACAATAAGAAACAATTGCATTGGACAATAATAATTCAGCAAGTTACTTTTTTTTTGTCAATTAAACTTGTGGTGAAAATTATTTGTTGTTAACATTCTAAATTTGCCAAAAATAAGCCAAAAATGAAAAATTATAAGTATATTTAAATAAATTAAAACCTTTTTGAAAGAATTCTATCAAAATTATAAATATAACTAAGAAGAATATACAACTTTAATGTATAACTGATGAATCCCATAAAGATTTTCCATATAAAATCACAAGATTACTAAAGGTGAATAAAAATACAGTAAAATCTAATATCTTTTAAATGCTTATTAAGATCATAAATTGTCCACTAACTGTTAATTTTTCTTTTATCCGAGCCTATAAAATGATTTCTTGATTTTAACTTTTAGATAAAATTTGTTCAAAATCTAAAATTTAATTTTCTTATTAAACTTCAATTTGGAATTTAATAAAGCCTTTTTCTTAAGATATAATTTCTGATAATTCAACATCTTAACTATCAAAACCTGACATGCCTTGTACTTCACCATGTTCGTTTTATTTCAATATGTAAGATAGTATATTGAATTGATTTTAAAATTCCATCATATCTTCAAAGTGGTATAGGTTAGAAAATAGAGTAAATATTAGGAGATTAAATAAATAAAATAAAGGAATTATCATTGCTATAGCAATATAAGCAGAGGATTCTTCTGTAATGTAAAAAATTAGCTAGTAAGGACTATAAAAACTAAAAAAAATACCTAATTTAATAAAATAATATACAAATTGAAATAGAAAAATATCCTTAAATGAATTGAAATTTATTAAAAATATTTTAAAAAGTACTAAAGATGTAGATTTTGAAATTATTAGTAATAATTTCATGATTTCTCATTTAATTATGTATTTTCTATCTGATATTTATAAAATAATTAACCAAAGTATTCTCTGAATTTTAGATTATTTTAGAAATCGAAATGTATTTTTTTAAGATTATCAATTCCAATTATTCTGATTCGTACATTAATTTGGGTAAAACTGAATTTAATTCTAATACTCCAATAGTATTTTCTTAAGTATTTTTTAATAGTTCATAATAATTTGAAATATAATTATTAATAAGGCTCCATTTATAAATACATTAAAAAGGATTATGAAATTGTTTTACTTTAAATATGGAATGAGAATTAATAATACTTTAAGGAAACAATAGATAATAAGATAGATTTTTTAGTTGTTGATCTTGAATTTATTCATCAAACCATTAAATACCAAATATTTTATTTTTTTCACTAATTCGAGGAAAATAATCTGATATTTAACAAATGAATTACAAGTTGCTCTATGTAATTACAACGAATTCAGGATCAATGAAAGTCAATATTCCTAAATAAATCCATTTAATTAATTGTATTTAATCAAGTTCTCTAAAAAATGCAAAATAATATGCAATATTCTATTCACTTATTTATTCTTCGAATAAAAAGGCATGATTTTCTGATAATGAGTAATGTTTATACAATGAAACATAAGCTTTATTATATTTTTTCTCATTATATTTTTATTTAAATAATTATTTAATATGTTTTCTACTCGTAATTATAACAATCGGAACTATTTATTGATCTAGAAAATAATTTATTGTGTAATCAAGATTCTCCAACTATTCCCCTTAATATATAAGAATAGCAACATTTGATTTAATATTCGTCTTCTTTTCTTCACTATTTTAAACTTCAGAATTTATTGATCTCCAAATTTTTTTGATAAAAGTCTCAAAACTGTAGTATTTTGTTTCATTTTTCTTTGAAAAATGTAGTTCTATTTTTAATTCATTAACAAATTCAGTCGAAATTTCAAATTTGATCGATTCTCTAATTTTGTTGAATTCCTAAATGTTTTAGGTTTTATTCAAAATCGTAGAAAAATTCGACCACATTTTAATCTCCTCTTATAATTTTCTTTTTTAAAAGACTGAAATATGATTCACTAATGTTGTTATTTCATTAGATAAAGGTTATGCTAACTAAAATTTACTCTATTATTCCTCAACTAATACTTTTAGAGGGATTTCCTCTTCTTCTTAAAATTCAATTAAAGAATAATTCTTCATTATTTATTAATATTGGTAAATTATTCTCCAAATATTAAAATCAAATAAATTCTATTAACACATTTGGATCTAAAATCAAATAGAAATACATGAATTATACAGATATAGTTAACTAAATACATTTTGAATGCTTATAATTATTGATTTTTTATTTTTGAAATATTAATCTATTCTATCAAATATATAGATTTTCAGACTTCAAAAAGATCTGTTCTAGGAAAGGCACTCTTTTCTACATTTCTTAAAGGAAGAAACCAATACTTAATTTCAGGACCAAAGACTTCTTTTAAGTTATCTATAATTCTTGGTTTCCTGAAAGGGTTCTAAATGTATATTATTAATTTTTATAAAATACATTAGCTTTGATTTCATTTATATGATATTCGACAGTTGTTATATTTTGGGCAATGTGATAGATGTGAAATCCCAATAGAAATCCCATTGCCATAACTAAAGCAAAACATGTAACATCACAAATTGTTAATAAAAACTATTGATTTTTAGTCAGTTCCTAATAATTATTAAATTAATAATACTTGTAACACAAATTTATCATTTACAAACAAATCGTACGAAATAAATAATGTACATTAGATCATGCACAATATAGCATAGAAATTGAATTGACAAAAATATCTATGATTTTTCAAACCAACACAATTATTAACCCAAGGACAATGATGATCCTAATATAACAATAAATAATTTAATTACCATTCTCAATACACATTTATTACATTCTTTACAATGATGAGTTCTTGGTAATTTTATATTATCACATTTAAAACAGTATGAAACTAATTATAATGCTTGAATAATATCGCTAGAACCATATAATAAAATTATTTTATTACAATTTCATCGTCATTTTCATCATGTAATTCAATATGATTTTGCATTCTTCTTTATCTGTGTTTATTAATTTTTTCAGTCATTTTTTTTGTTCTTTATTTTATGTCTTCCAGAGTTCTTTCATGATAATGTTTAGCCTAATTTAATATATGTACCATATACTAAATCTTTTGGAGGATATCCAGGTTTGGTATATTAAATCATAATGTATGCTAAATTCAAGAAAATGAATATGATTGTAAATTCAATTCCAATTAAATAAGTAATACTTCCATGCTAAAATATTTAGTGAAAAACGAATTACTTTATTAAGAAATGGAGGTAGGAAGATAAAAACAAAAGCATAATATTCACTGAAAATAATCCCGTAAACTAATATTACAGCTATGAAATCAGGTAGTTGATGTTAACCCTTAAACATTAATTATTATATATATATATATATATTTAATTTTAAATTATTTATATATATATTCCTTTTGATAAATTAGATTTTTATATATGCAATATTCATAAGTTATGATACATATTGGAGCAAGAGATAGGAATATTTCAATTTTATAATAAATCATTAGTAAATTTCAATTATTTTGTAAATTTGAAAATTAAATAGAATACTTGAAATTGAATATTATAAAATTGATAATTTAATATATCTTGGTTAAAAGTAATGTAGGATTGATATTGTATATAAAAATATTATTTAATATTTGAAAAATAATGGAACCAGAACAATTGATAGATTAATTAAATGATATATTGTTAGCAGACCATTTCAGATTTATAGAAGTTATTGGAAGAGGCAGTTTTGGTGTAGTTGTGGCTTCGTTTTGTAGTAATCTAGATCGAATAGTGGCAATAAAAGTTAATTACAATATAAGAATTATAATAGATAACATCGAATGTTGATCAAGAGAACGAAGCCAATTTACTTAAAGCTTGTTGTCATTAAAATATTGTCAAGCTTTATAAGGTATGATATTTTTTTTCATTATAGGTGTTAGTAGCTAATAATCATCTTTATCTCATAATGGAAAGACTTGTTGGTTTAACATTAGATAAATTGATGAAACAATCTATATTATCAGAATAAAGCATTAGAAACTATATGACTTAAATTTTAAATGCATTAGTGTTTCTTCATAGAAAAAATATTATCCATAGAGATCTCAAACCAGGTTAAATTAACTACTATTATAGAAAATATATTTATTTGTGAAAATTCATGTGTTAAATTAATAGATCTAGGCTTAGGATAGGAGATTGTTTGTAAAGGATGTGTATATTAATCAGTTGGCACTCCATATTTTATTGCCCCAGAAGTCATATTAGGAAAGGATTAAAGTCAAGTATGTAATTTCTATCTCTAATTTAGGCTGTTGATATTTTCAGTTTAGGTATTATCTTCTATATGATGATCAACAATTTGTAACATCCTTTATGGGATGGACAAATGAGAAAAAGACATTATTATGAATTGATTTCCAATGAATTTTAAATTAACTTTCCAAAAACAATGTCTGAGTACTATATATTAATCATATTTGTTAGTATGGCAAAAGATTTTGTGTTAAATACTGTTTAATTCAGATCAGAGAATAGAATGACTGCTTTGTAATGCTTAGAACATCCTTGGATTAAAGGAAAAGAAGTTAAAACACATCCAATGACTACAAGAGAAATCATGTTAAGATACAATATTTAATAAAAGCTTTAACATGTAATTATATTATTTACTAATTAGATAATTAAATCATTGATATTTATAAAAACTCTTTAGTAAACATGTGAAGAAGAGATTCATTATATTAAAACAAATAATTCTCCTTTAAGAGATGAAAAGGAAGATGATCGAGTTTCTCCTGAGAATGACTAATAACTTACTGCTAGATTAAGTGTTGAATTAAACAATAAAAAATAAAAGTCATTTAAATTACATGCTATTCCATTGAAAAAAGTAAGTTCATATAAAGATCTAGTATCTTTAAGAGAGAAATAATTAAATCAAAAGAAATATGAAAGTAATTAAATGCATTTAAATAAGATATGATATCAAGATTTAGATAGAAATTGTCTTTAGGTAATCAACTAAATACAAATGGACATCATAATTTTGATTCACCTATGAGTCATCGAAAATTAACTACTTTACCTTCAATTAATACTAATAGGTTACAAAGATAATCAACTTTTAATTTTAAAAATTTGTGAAGTGCTTTTTATAAATTATCAAATAAGAAATCAATTTTACTTTAATCTATTCATTATTTCATCAGCTTCTTATGCTTTAGTTTCATCATAAGGAATATAATAATTAGACAATCTTGATTAAGGATTGCTCATAGGTCTATTCTATTCTCTAAAGATATTTATTGATTTAATGATCTCTTCATTATCCATCTCAATTTATTATATCATTTTTTTTATATCATTATTAACAAAGAATAATTCAGTATTATCTTATTTCAATAATTTGAAATTTGCTTGCATCTTTGCATTTTCTAATTTCAATTTATCTATTTACTATTGTAAATCATTATGCTTATGATTATCAACTCGTAAATTTAAATTAGAAATTTCAGAAATCATATTATCTACATTATTTCTAACTATTTAATATTATTAATAAACTTCCTATGGTTGTTATTATATTTAATTTGTTTATTAAATTGTCTTAATGGCAGATTTCAACTAAATAGATGAATCTTCCTTTTTACTTTATTAAAATGACTGATTCTAACTTTAATCATCTTTAATTCTAGGTACTTTTGAAATTAATTCTTTGAATTATTCATCTGAATTATATATTTTTTCATTTTGAATTAATACCTTACTAATATTTAATTTTAAAGTATCCAATTTATCTTATTCATTCAAAGATAACTAATTACCTTCCTCTAATCTTCTAATAATTATTTCTAATTATTTTCCATCTTATTCTAATCTTTATTTATTCTTATCAATCATTTATACAATTGTTGTTGATTTTCCTTTGTCCAAACACATTTTAAGTATTTCAATTTCTGCTCTAAGCTACAATTTTAATCTTGTTAGAGATTATAACATTTATTCAAAAAATCAATTAATTATAACAATAATCTATACTCTTTAATAAAATTAAAGCATATAAATTCCAGTATTTTATTTATTTATATTATTTATACTTCTTTAAATATCTTAATAAGTATCATATATATATTATTATTCATTTTTTTAAATAATTGTTATTCAAAATTTATTATTCCTAAATATATTAAAAAAATGATAATTTATATTATTATTATTTAATTAGCATAAATATATAAATACAATCAAAAAGTATATGATATCAAAGTTCAATTTCAAATTATTCTATTTAAATAGTTCTAGTAGGTTTTCTAAATTTATAAATGAATGTATTTCCTATAGCTTTTATAAAAGGTATCAATATTAATAAAAAGAGAGCATAATTAATATAGTAAATATGCTCAAAGATTAATGTAATCATTAAACGAGGAACTCCTTTTTCAAACAGTTTGATTATGTGTCTCTATTGACCATGTATTATATAACAGAATAAGTATGATATTAATTTTACAATGTTACTTTTTGATAGCCAAGATTTTAATGGACTTCTATTAGATTCTTCAGGTTGTTGCTCATAGAGAATAAATAGATATAATGGGAAAAAGATTATTGAGATATATTAAACATCTGAAGTTTCGAATTTCTTTTCGTAACTATAATGTCCTTTATGTAGACAAGTATCTTATCTTAGTATCAATTTCTTCCATTCTTCTTTCTCATCTAATATCTATTAGGAATAATGTCTAAAGTAACAAATTATCAATGTTATCAAATAAATTAATGACAGCATTATACCTAAATTAAGATACTTAACAATTTTAGTGCAAGTTTTTTCATCTTTAATTCTTTTTGCTTCTATAAATAGAGAATGAATCAATTATTCTAATCCACTGAAATAATATAGATATAATAGATATATTCCTAAGATCCATCCCAATACAATTTAATTTAAAAAATGAACTCCAAAATATAAACGACCAATCCCGATCAAAAATATAAATATTCCCAAAAAAAATTAACATTACTTAAAACTTATTGGTGAATTTGGATATAATATCTTAAATCTTTAATTACTAGTAAATAAATAATAGATTTTACCATGATATTTACTATTGCATCTATGTCAGTTAATATTAAATATCTGTATAAATTTAGTTTTCATTTATAAGTTATTTTTGTTCAAGTTAATACTTTTTGCAAACTATTGTTTCTAATAGTAGTACATAAAATACGAATGGTCTTAAAGAATGACCACTCGGATCTCCATATCCAGTATAGCAAAAATCCAATTTTATTTAATCATCAATATAGAAAGGTCTTGGTTGGGCAGATATCATTTTAACTAAATTTCCTAGTGATGAAGCTAATGCATTCATAGTAAAAATCTTTAAGACTTGTTCTTTGTTGGTAGCTTTGAACCATATTAAAATTGCTAGGATATTTGTAACTATAGCATCTCCTGCAGTTGAGAATATTAACAAAATGTATTCTATAAATATATTATATTGATACCAAATGTTCCTTACTCTTAACCATATTCAAATTTATTTTATAAAAACTTAGTTATGCTATTACTAAATTCATATGTATATTTTCCATAAAAGACATCCATAAATAAAATGAGGGTTACTAAGATTGTTAAAATTGTTAGTTAGCTCATAAAATAGAGGTATATTTAATATTAATTAGGAAATCTAAGTTAATGAAATTTAAAGTTCCATTCCGATATTCCTAAAATATATAATTCCA